ATAAAAAGGAATGAAGTTTAGATGTATGTTATAACCTGGATGAACCTTGAAAAGCTTATGCTAAAGTAGAATAATCCAGACACAAAGGACTAATTGTATGACTCTATTTATATGAGGTCCCTAAATATAGACAAATCCAGAGACAGAAAAAAGAGATCACCAGGGGCTGGGGGAGGGGAATGAGTTATTGCTTAATGGTTACAAAAGATAATACAAACATTTTGGAAACAGTGGTGATATTTGCATAATATTATGAATGTAATTAATGCCACTAAATTATATACTTAACATGGTTAAAACAGCAAATATGGTTATTTTCCACTACAATTAAAAAATAACATAATATATTGAAAACCATTGCACTGCACACTTTATGGGTGAATTATATGGTGTGTGAATTATATTTTGGTCAGGCTGTTTAAAAGTAAGTAGTACAATATTTAAAAAATCAATTGTATCTACACAGTAGCAATAAGCAAACAATAATGAAATTAAGAAAGCTATTCCATTTAAAGTAACATCAAAATAATAAAACTAGGAATGAGTTCAACAAACTTTTACTCTGAATACTATAGAACATTATTGAAAGAAATTAAATTGGTACTGAATAAATGGAAAGAGTCCATGTCCATAGATGAGAAAACTTACTGTTAAGGTGGCAAACTTTCCCAAGTTTATTCATAAGAGTCAACATAATACCTCTCAAATCCCAGATGACTTCTTTGCAGAAATTGACAGGCTGATCCTAAAATTCGCCCGGATATGCAAGAGACCCAGGAGAGCCAAAGCATCTTGAAAAAGAGCTACAAAAATGGAGAACTCACACTTCCCATTTCAAAACTTACTATGTTTGAGTAAACAAGGCAATGTGGTAGAGGCCTAAGTTTAGAAATACAGATCAATGGAACAGAACTGAGATTGCAGGAATAATCCTTCACATAGTTGTATATACAACTAACTTATCTTTGACAAATGTCAGGTCAATTCAATGGGGAAATAATAGTTTTTAACAAATTGTGGTGGGATAACTGCCAGATACATGCAAAACGATGAAGCTGGACTCCCTACTTCACATCAGATGCAAAAATTAACTCAATAGGTACTAAACTCCTAAATGGGAGTAACAGCTACTCGGTCAGGGCTTGTTTAGGGAGCAATACATTCTGAAATTGACTGTGGTCAGGGATGCACAACTGTGAATATAGTAAAAGTCACTGCATTGTATGCTTCAGGTCAGTGAATTGTATGTTATGTGAATTATAGCTCAAGAGATCTTTTTAAAAAATGAACTGAAAGGTTATTGCTACTGATCCCATGGATATGAAAAGGATCATAAAGGAATACTATATGCAACTCCATGGCCACAGACTTAGTAACACAGATGAAATGGTCCAGTTTCTTGAATAAAGGAACTACTAAACCTTACACAAGGAGAGACAATGTGAGTATGAATGTTGAGTCCAGTCTAACTTAAAATGACTCATGTAGGTACCTGTTCTCCTAAATTCTACTCCATAGACCTATTCCTCTTGCTTGTTAAAATTGCAAGCAATGCTTTCTTTTTTAAAATATGAGTTAAAAATCAGCAAACGCCTGTATCTATTTTAAAAATTGAATCAATAATTAATAATTTTCCACAAAAGAAAGTACCAGATCCATGTTTTCACTGATGAATTTGACCAAACATTTAAAGAAGAAATGATACCAGTTTTCTACAATCCCCGCCAGAAAACAGAAGCAGAGAATCACTTTCTAAGTCATTCTATGCAGCCAGCATTACCCTGACACTGAAACCAGACAAACTCAGATCATAGGCCTAAATGTAAAGCCCAAAACTATAAAACTCCTACAACAAAAATAAGTGAAAGTCTAGATGACCTTGGATTTAGTAATGAGTCTTTAGATATAATCCAAAGGCACAATCCGAGAGAATAATTGATGTCATACTTCATTAAAATTAAAAACTGTTCTCTAAAAGGCACTGTTAAGTAAATGGGAAGATAAGCTCCAGATTATGAGAGAATATTTGCAAAATACATATCTGAAAGAGGAATGGTGTCCAAAATATATGAAGAACTCTTAAAACTCAATCAGAAAACAAATAATCTAATTAAAAGACCGGCAAATATTTGAACAGATACCTCATCAAAAACAATGTAAAGATGGCAAATGAGAATATGAAAGAAGCTCAACTTCATGTCCTTAGGGAACTGCAAGTGAAAGTAGTGAGGCACCACTACATGGCCAACAAAACGGCTAACATCCAAGACTGACAACACTAAACACTGCGGACAACGTGGAGCAACAGGAACGCTCACGGCTGGTGGGGATGTAGAATGGTACAGCCACTTTGGAAGAGAGTTTGGTGGTTTCTTACAAAACTAAACATAGTTTTACCTTATGATAAAACAGTCACACACTTAGGTTTTTACCCAAAAGATCTGAAATTTTATTTCCACACGAGAACCTACATGCGAATGTTTATAGCACCTTTATTCATAAGAGTCATAAGCTGGAAGCAAGATGTCCTTCAACAGGGAAGCGGGTAACCAGAATGCTGCACATTCACACAGAAAACCACCAAGCAGGAACAAGAAGCGACTTGTGACACATACGGCACATGGATGACTGTGAAATTACGCTGAGCCAGACACAAGTAAGTATGTCTTGTATGATTCCATTCATACAAAGTTCAAGAACAGACAAAATCAATCCATGTTAACAGATAGTCACATGGCAAATGACTAAAGACAGGCACTTTCTGGGGTTATGGTAATGTCATCTATCTTTATTTGGATGTATATATTTGTCAAAATGTGTAAGACTGTAAACTTAAGATTTGAGTTTTTTATTCCATGTAATTATACAATAAAATTGGTTGTTTAAAAAAAAGTCAAATAGTGGTTATTTTCGGGGGAGGTAGAGGGTTGTGATTGTGGTGAACACCTGCAGGGCTTTGAGGTGACTAGCAAAGTTCTATTTCTTACTCTGGATGGTAATTTCAAAGTTGTTTTTCTTTTACGAATTTATGAAGCTATACATTTGTTTCATGTAGTTTTCTGTTTCTGTGCTATATTTTACAATTAACAAGTATGAAAAAATACATCCTTTCAAAGGTGTCCCTTTCATGCCAGGTTTGGTTGGACTGTACAACCTTTAACTTCCAAACTCTAAAACTCTGATTCTACATTATTACTAGGAATCTCTGTAAATGAAAATACTACCATGCATTTTCTATTTAATGATCTTTTGAAACATCCAGGTTTAAAAAAAACAGTATGAAATATTTTCTAGCCCAAACAGGGTTAAAACTTTTCCCCCAGCTTTACGTTTCTTTGATTTTCCCCTGTAAACAACACAAGTCAAATCCAAGTCTTACCTCAAATATATTTCCAATTCTTCCTAATCTTTAAGTAGGCGAGCGACAATTTTCTGGACCAAAAGCCCCTTGGATTCTGGACTTCTCAGCACTATCTCTGGGTCAAAAATTCCTGGGAAGTACAACTAACAATATCATTAATTAAAAAGTTGTGTATAAGCTTATAGACAAAGAATAGAAAGCCAGTTTTATCAATACTAAGCCAAACCTGCTAACAACCCAAGTATCTTTCTACAGGTGAATGCTAAGAATTTGTGACATATCCATACAATGAAATGCTTACACTTAGCAATAAAAAGCAATGAGCTATAGAAAAAAGCAGCCTGTGTAAATCTCAGCACAATTTCCATTATGCTGAGTAAGAGCCACCAGATCCCTCCCTCAAAAAAGAACATACTGCATGATTTCATTCACTAGAATTCAGTAGAATTCTGGAAAATGTAAACTAATCTGGAGCAACAGAACACGGAGATGGGGAGGTGGGAGGGCTGGGGCCAAGAAATCACAAAGGGCACAAGGCAACTTCTGGGTTTGACAGTATGTTCGCTGCCTTGGCTGGTGTTGGCTTCAGAGGTGTACACGTCAGATCTTGGCCAGCTGCTTACAGTGTTCAGTTTACGTCGGTTGGCCCTCAGTAAAAAGCTGTTTTTAAATAACAGTGTACATGGCCAAGGCTCACCTCCCCGCCTCTCCTAACTTCCTCAGAGGGCAGTGGAACACTGAAAATGCTATTTTTCTGGGCCGTACCATCACCACTTGCACTGGCAAGCTTCCTTTGGTCAGGATTATCCAAGTTTTCAGTTGAGGTCGCAATACTTTTATTACAGAGAGCAGGTCCGCAATGCAGGATCCCAAATACTTGAATGCTGTCTTTCCCTGGGCAGGTACACACGACATCACTGGGGCAGTATGTGCACAGGAGAGAAACTCAGGCAAAGCAACGCTCTTCTAGCACAGGCTCACTATCCTGGTGGGACGCCGTCCTAGTTAGAACTTGAAGAGCTGCTCCATGCCCCATGGGACAGCCTGGTGGGGCAGCCTCGGTAGTTCTGAGGACTCTTCAGCCTATGCCCTGCAGGCCTACGAGGCCTAGTCGGCGGGGGAGCCAAAGCCTGCCTCACTTTTTCCTCCCACAGCCCCGCACCAGGTGAGAGCTTACCATCCCAAAGCAATGGTCAGAACTGGCACGGCCTCCCTGTCTTCAATCTGTTCAGGTCTGGGCGAAAAGTAGAGCTCCAGCCCCCAGCTGGGGACCAGAACCATGTCCTAAGGTGGGAGGACACCCTGCTGGGGGAGGGAGACGGCTGCCTGGGCCATCCCACCGCTCAGGCGGCTCCGAGGAAGCAAGAGCAGCTCTGTGAAGAGAATCCACCCTCATCTAGAGTCTTAATTATTCTAGTTATTGACCAATTTATGTCTGCAGTGAGACACAATACAGTCTTGTATTTAAGATAACCAGGAGCCAACCGACACCTTCAGAATACCAGGGAAGGTGGGACTCTTTATGTGGAACAAAAGAACTTGGACAGACAGACTTTCCATAGTGAGAAACGACAGTAGTACGAGCATCCCACTGACGTTCAGTACAACACCGGTTAACTTCATAAAAAGACGCAAACGGTGCAGGTACAAAACCCCTTTGAGTCCTTTATTAACTTTTGGAGATGTGTGGTACATACAAGTAACAGCATCACCAGCTACAGAAGTACAGGTAGCCAGGAATGCACTTCAGAACAGGGACGTCAGAGCAGCTTTGGTGCTGCCCGCTCTGAACCTCCACAAAAACCCAACTCACACACGCAGGACAAACAATATAACAATTTCACTTTGAAATGGTTCTTTAAAAAAATGACAAGAACTGTTCAAACCCTTTATAGAGTGAGATATGGCAGGTCTTAAGGAGCCATGGCACTGCTGTGAAAGGCCAGCTTAGGCGTTTGAAGGTCAGAGGGGAGTGAGAGGAAAAGGTGTGAACTGCAGTGTGAAGAGATAACTGGTGGTCCGAGTGGGTACTTTCAGTCCAGGCTCGGTATGGGTCCTGCAGGCATCCACCAGATAAATAGTTTATAAACCAGAAGACTGAAAAACACTGGCCATTCATTTGTGTCATTGATTCCAACTGGCAGACGCTGGAGTGTCAGGAGTCCCGCACGACCCAGAGAGCTTGGGAGGGATGCGGCCGAACGCAAGCAGCTCGCTGTGCCAGATCCGCTCTGATCCTCTCCTGCCAACGGCTGCCACGGCCCTCTGCTGCCCGTGGGAACTGAGGAACACTTGATCTCAGTGCTCCACTTGAAAATAAACCAAAGCCCTCCCCCCACCCCCACCCCCATTCTTCATAAATTCTGTTTCCAAAGTCCTCTGATTCTTCTTGGTCTAGACCTTTTCTTTTCGCTTCAATTTTGACACCTTCTTGACAGTCCCATTCTTGTTCAGAAGCTTCAGGACACGATCTTTATGATCTAAAACCTTAAGCATGGAGTCTCTGGCCTCACTGATTTGATCCATCACAAGTTTACACCTCTGCATGTTTCCCTGAAACAAAAGATATTTTATCACCAATTAGTGGCCCTGAGGGCCATAGCTCTGGACTGGGGACATTTTGAGGCTTTCACATAGAAACAATGATCTAGTACTTCTTGGTGAGGCTTCAGGACAGCATAGGTTTTCTCTAAAGGTGCTAGTGGATGGGGGAGGGAGACGGGAGGTCGGCCTCACTGTGAACCCCTGACGTGGACGAGCAGAAGGCAAGGGCTTGTGCAAACCTGGATCAGCTCATTTATTCGGTGCAGGTCATCATCGGTCGCTGCTTTTTTCTTTGGGATAATCCCTTCCTGTAGGTTGGTGAGTCTTTCATAAACATCATGCTCTAGATTTGTCTGCAACACACAAAGAGGGAGGGCACTGTGACCTCGGAGATGCTTTTCTTGGTCAGCCTCAGGCCAGTGAGCCCACCTCCAACCAGCCTTGTAAACTAGCGTCAAGCGCTGTCTGGGTGATGACTCCCTGTGTCCCGAGGACTGAGGTACAGTAAGGGAAACGGATCGACGAGCAATACTACAAGCTGCCCTCATTCAGTCATCTTCAAGGACAACTTCTAAACACTGCCCTGGGTTCACAACTGCTCTAAAAAACAAGCCTGCAAGTTTCAAAGAAATACGCTTTGCGGCTAAGTACAAACACAAGGCACGGCACTATTTGTTTTAGGTGCTCATGACAGCCCACGTTATTCCGAGGCTGTTGTCTGACTAACCCCCTCGGCCTTGATGGTGCAGGAAGGATTCCCGCCCGAGGCTCATGGAAATGGCTGCACACCTGACGCCCGCCAACTGGACAGATGAGATCGACAGCAGTGTACCAGTCAGTATACTCACAGCCCAGGGGAGGAGGACACCGCACACCACGCAGGGCCGCACGGGGGCTGCACTCAGGAACAGAGTGAACAAGCAGGGGCTGTGGGAGGCAGGCTTTGTAGTATCAAGAGGGAGAGGTGTCCCCTGGTTCCCACAGGAGGATGCGACTGACTTCCTTGAGTAACATTGCAAGATGGCAGGGAACTGAAGCCCGCTACTCAGGGTAGAAGCAGCGACTGTGGCTGTCCCCATGACAATGAGCAGAGAGGGGAGGTGGGGCTTCCAGTTAGGATATTTGAAGCTCCCCGTGCCAGATGCCATGGCGACACCTAATGCTGACCCTTAATCATAAGTCTGATACCACAACTGTTCAATATATTTTGGTTCTGGGTACCAGAACTAAGATATATTTAGATTTTATCTATGCAATAGATACAATAATCACAATAAGAACACATACAAATTCTACCACAGCCCACGTTACCCAGGAATGCTTCGGAAGTACTCAGAGGGAAATGCTTTATGAATTCAGATGTCTCTAGCATCTACTCCTCTTCAGCAGGATGTGGAAACTGCTAGAACTCTACCTACCAGCTGGAGCAACTGCGCAGCACAGAGGTGGACTTTCCAGCCTTGGGCGCGACAGGATACTCCTTTCTGATTGGCTATTTCCTGCAGCATAGCTTTCTTCTCCTCTGGAGTCATAAAAAATAAAAAGCATGATTCAATTTTTATAAAGCTAAAATCATTTGTGTTTAGGCTGCCTAAATTCTATTTTATCAAGAATTTAAAAATATCTAAGTAAATCCTTGTGTACTTAAGTCATTAGGAACAGAGGCCCTGACATGAACAAAAGCCCGCTTGCTTTCTGTCTGCCCCCGAGGGCGGCTTGGAAGACACACTCTGCTGATCTAGCCCGTTTAAGAGAGAGCAAGATGACATTTTAATCTCTTCAAAGAGGGGAAATGGTCTTTAGTGCTTTGGAGCCTTGCTCTGCGTGATGTCTGCAGGCATGTGGAGCTGGGCATGAAGTTGTAGAAGCTCTGTGGTGTTGTCCAGACCTTGGAGAAATCACAGGAATCAAATTTAAGTAACATTTAAGTAACTTTTATTACTGGAGTAATAAAAGTCCAGTAACCAGAACTGTGGTAAAATAAATAAGAACTTTATCATCTGAATTGGGGAGAGACAGACTAGGATTGAGGGGTGCTTCTCAAAGGTGAGTGTAGCTGTATCTGTATTGTTTTAATTTCTGTTGAACCAGGACTTAAAAATGTATTTATACATTACATGGATAAACATCTTAAAAATTAAAAAAAAACATTATTATTTCAAAAATTATTCTTGAAAAAACCCTATTTGTCAAAACTGAAAAGTACAACACCAAGACTGAGCCCTAATATATATGATGAACTTTGGGTGATAATGTGTCAATGTAGGTTCCACACATGTAACAAATGAACCACTGTGGCGGGGGTGCTGGGAGTGGGGGAGAGAGCTGTGCATGTGTGGGGGCAGAGAGGGATGAGAAATCTTCATACATTCTGTTCAATGCTGTGAACCTAAAACTCTCCTATGAAATTCATCAATTAGCATGAGTATTATTGGAGGAATTTTTAAACTTTTTGACATAATTGTGGATTTACACGCAGTTGTAAGGAACAATGGTAACATCTTATAAAACTATAGTACAATATCACAACCACGACACTGACATAGTCCATCGACTCTATTCAGATTTCACCAGTTTTAGATGTACTTGTGTATTTCATTATAACCATTTAAAAAAACTTTTGAGTTTGAAATAATTATAGATTCACAGGAAGCTGCAAAAACAGTATAGAAATATATCTGATAAGTGACTTCTATCTAGCATATATAAAGAATTTTTTTAAATTAAGGTATCATTGATAAACAATCTTATGAGGGTTACTACATTCACCTATATCATCAAGTCCCCCCACACTGCCCTGCAGTCACTGCCCATCAGTGCAGTAAGATGCCACAGAGTCACTGCTTGTGTTCTCTGTGCTGTACACTGCTTTCCCTGTGCCCTCCTGTATTATGGTTGCTAATCATAATGCCCCTCAATGCCCTTCTCCCTCCCTCCCATCCCCACCCCCACCTCCCCTCTGGTAACTCCTAGTCCCTTCTTGGAGTCTGAGTCTGTTGGTGTTTTGTTCCTTCAGTTTTGCTTCACCGTTATGCTCCACAAATGAGAAAAATCATTTGGTACTTGTCTTTCTCTGCCTGGCTTATTTCACTGAGCATAACACCCTCTAGCTCCATCCATGTTGTTGCAAATGGTAGGATTTGTTCTCTTATACATAAAGAATTCTTATAATTCAGTAATAAAAAGACAAAAAAATTAAAAAGGGCGAAAGATCCAAGTAGACATTTCACCAAAGAAGATGTACAAATGGCCAATAAGCATGTGAAGATGTTCAATATCACCACGGATTAGGGAAATGCAAATCAAAACCCCAGTGAGGTACCACTTCACACCCACTAGGATGTTACCATCAAAAAGACAGACAGTACATCTGAGGTGAGGATATGGAGAAACTGGAAGCCTCATCCACTGCTATGGGAACGTAAAATGGTCTGTTTGCTTTGAAAAACAGTCTGGCATTCCTAGAATGTTAAATACAGAGTTACCAAACATCCCGGAAGTTCTAATTCCAGGTATATGCCCAAGGGAAATGAAAACATATACACATAAAACTATGGTCCATAGCACCATTATTCATAGTAATCAAAAAGTAGAAATAATCTAAATGCCCATCAGTGATGAATGGATAAATAAAATGTGGTATATCCATAAAACAGAATATTGTTTTAAGAGAGAAGAGTGACAGACTGACACATGCTACGACATGGATGACCCCTGAAAACACTGTGTCAAGTGAAATAAAGCAGCCAGTTACAGCAGGTCACATGTCATACAGTTGCTCTCGTCTGAAATGCCCGGCCCTGCGACACCCAGATTCAGCAGGCAGATCAGAGGCTGCCCAGGGTTGAGGGGTAGGCAGGGGCAGAGGGGGCAGGTTGGAGGGCGGCAGCTAAATGTGCGCATTTTCTTACTGGGGTAATGAAAGTGTATTAAGAACTGCAGTGACTGACGCAAAACTTTGTCAATACACTAAAAAAACCCACTGAATTGTACACTTTGACAGATGAGTTATATGCTACATGAGTTGTGCTTCAATAAAGCTATCATTAAAAAAAGAAAGACAGTAAAGAGATGTGAAATGTTACCCTTACACTTGGATTCCCCCATTGGGCCAACTTAAGAAACCTATGGTACGGGACCAAACCCAGGGAGTCGCCACTGACACTAAGTGAGTACAGTTCGGTGTCACTTTATCCTGTGTGTAGGTTCATGGGACCACCACTGCGATCGGGGTGCCGGACTACGGCACACGAACATCTCCCCGGGCTATACCTGTAGCAGCCCACATCACCCATCACTAACACCTAGCACCCACTCGTCTGTTCTCTATCTGCATAATTTTAACATTTCAAGAAGTGTTACCTAGGTAGAATGACAGTATGTGTCTTCTTCCCTTTTTTTTGGTATCCTTTTAGGACTGGCTTTATACACTAAGTGGAAGCATAATGTCTTTGAGATCCAATCCAAGCTGCGCACGATCAGTTCTTTGCTGTTCATTCCTGAACAGCATTCAATGGGACCAGTCTGTTTGGCCATTTGCCTACTTATGGCCATCTGCACTGCTTCCAGTTTTTAACTATTACAAACAAATGTTGCTTTGAATACCTGTGTACAGATTTTTGTGAGGACGCAGGTGTTCACTTTTCTGGCATAAATGCCCAGGAATGCAACTGTTGGGTCATGTGTAAGGGCGGGTTTAATTTTTACACAACAGGCACACTCTTTCCCAGAGTAGCTCAACAATGCACGACAGATGATTGACTTGCAGTATGATTGTGCTCCACTAACCTGCTCTTCAGTTTCAGAAGCTGGTAAAAACATAGTAAGCCATTTAAACCTCTGCACAAGGTCCTAAGGGAAAGCAGCTGTTCTAATCACACATCTATTCAAGCAAATCTGTGGTAAGAGCAGTGAGCCTGTGGAACCTGAAACAATCATCTCCCTCCCAAGCTCGAGAGGCGGAGACTCCACCCAGGCAGCTGCAGCCCAAAGGGCTCCCTCCCCTCCAGCTCCCAGGTGGAGAGCTTTCTTCCCAGGAGGGGAATGTAGGCATGTCTCATCCTGCTTCCTGGTACCTGCTGCTGACTCTAAGTCCCAGTGAACACAACTGAGATGTGGGGGTGCTCTTCTTCTGTGCAACCCCCACTTGTGGAATGGAGCCTGTACTTCAGGCAAGGTGTGCTAAAACACTGGGACCCGAGGAGCCCTTCTCCCAGAGTGGGCAGAGGTGGCTCTGGCTGGGAGAAACAAGCCAAGACCACCCCAGAGTGACAGACTGACACATGCTACAACATGGATGACCCTTGAAAACACTGTGTCAAGTGAAATAAAGCAGCCAGTTACAGCAGGTCACATGTCACACAACTGGCTCTTGTCTGGAATGCCCACCCCTGTGACACCCAGATTCAGCAGGCAGACTGAGTCACTCCTCTGCCTGCCGACTGGGTGCCCCTCTCCTAGAGCCGCAGGCTACTCAGAAAACACGCTTCCCTTGTCCCTACCCCCATCTCCAGGGCTTGAGCCCAGAGATCCTGCCTTGGGGGAGGAACAGGCGGTAAGACACACAGGACAGGCAGCTTCTAATGTCTTCCTAAAAAATCTACAGCAGAGTGAAATTCAAACCTAAAGGTGCTCTTATCAACAGCAGAGGTTGTAATGAAAGGCAACTGTGACAGAAATTTGTAGATCTAATGAAAATACAACCTAGACTGTGGGCTGACTAAATTGCAGGAGAGAACAAAGAATAAGACAGCTGGGAAGAGCCCTCCTGTGGACAGAAGAAATATCAAACACTGACCTCAGGAACTATTCTGGCAAGGAGCTACCATCTCTGGATTAGTTTGCAGAAGAATTTAATTTGTTTCCTGGCAAATTCCAGTACCGTGTTCTTCAGAGCAAACGGCAAGCAGTTAGTGGGGTTCACCAGCTGGGTGCAGTCAGGGAAAAGTGGGAAAGAGGTTTGTCCTGGATGACAGTGACACAGGCACACCGAAAGCTGTGCCGCCCAGAGGACTAACACCAGTAACACACTTGCTGGTGGGGCGCTGAGCTTTCACTGCAACAGCCTAGCCAGTCACTGCACAAATGAGCAATCAACAATAACCTGCAGGAGATGAACCACTACCTACAGCTGCTACAATATATGACCTAACATGTCTACTTTCCAATAAAAAAGTATAAGGCATGGAAAGAAAAGAAGGGTATGACCCATTCATGGGGAAAAAAAGCAGGCAACAGAAACAGACATGAAAGTGACCTGACGTAAGATTTATCAGAAAAAAGATTCCAAAGTGACTATTATAAATAAATTCACAGAATGAAAGGGAAGCGTGAGTAAAGAAGTAAGCCAAGTATGAGGGTCATGTCACATGAACTAGTGAAGTCAATAAAGAGAAAGCAAGTACAAGAGAACTGGATGGAAATTCTGGAACCGAGAAGTACAATAAATGAAAATAAAAAATTCACTACAAGGGCTCAGCAGTAGATCTGAACTGATACAAAAAGTTGAAGCTAGATGGATAG